TCGAAAAAACTAAGAATTAGCCATTCGTCGGATGGATCAACTTACAATACCTACTTGTTTAACTTTAGCTCAGGAAATAAAGCTTCACATAACAGGAAGTTGTAATTACTGATACAATATTCTTTCCATTTCATTTCTTCAAATTTTAAAAATAACAATGTTATGCAATGTTGGAAGCCATAAACTAGTTATTGATTTAAAGAAAAAGATGTATTGACCTTATATTGTCATTATTATAAACCCTCCTATATACTATCTTCACTACAAACAAAACCAGTAGCAGTAAATCGAATTTGATTGTTTTCAAGTAAACAAATCTAAAAAAATACAGCATATTCCTGCTATAATTACAGATTTGTTTATATTTTTCCAAACTGATTATTTAATGCATGTGTTATTTGTTTATCTGAACGGAAAATTAAAAACGGAGTTAATGTGTTATGATCATAAAAATCAAATAAAAGAATTTCACGCACATAAAAAAATATCACTTCCTTGATCACTATCAAATTTGCAAAGAAGTAATATGAAGTATGAATTTTGATGAAACCCTCACCACAATTTATTTCTTTAACAATCAAAATTCTTCATTATATGTAATTTTAAAGATTACTGAGTTTCTTCTTCTAAGAAAAACAATAGTTCAGCTGATTTCTGCACAAGTTTCTTATGTTTTTTTTTGTGATAAATTACCGAAGAATTTTAAATTTAAAACAAGTCTATGTATAATAAAATTCGATATTTTTTTAAAATATATGATGATTTAAACTGAAAAGAGTTAAGGACATTTAATCTTTTATAATTTTTTGATGATATTATTTCATGCATATTCGAATAGAGCAAAGAAAATCCATGCATGTATAAGGTTGCGTTGTTAAAGGCAAAATTTAAGCTTCAGGTCCCAAACTATTAACAAGTACCTAATTAAGAGTGGTGATGTCAAGGAGTTGAACAATATTGCTTTTGTAGTAGGAACTTGAACAAACTTACATGGAAAATTCAGTAATTCCTAGTCACAATTATATGGCGTGAAAAAAAACTTAGCAGACTTACTTAACTGAACTGGCTTCTATTCCTATGAAAGAAAAAGCGCGTCAAACGATTTACAAAACATGAATCCAACTTATGTTATCCACTTATTCGTGAGAAGAAAATGTGTCGCATGAAATACTCGTTTGTTCCATTTTAAAAACTTAAAATTAGCATCATGCTAAAAATGAGAATACACTCGCTGGAAAACAGTACGCAGTAATGTAAATTTAAACAAATAATCCTGAATTCCTAAAGCTCTTGCCGTGCTATCAACACTGAAACCCTAAAATTCCAGCACACATGCAAATTGCCGTCTCTATTATTCCCACTAATTTTTAATAATCAGTTCGCTTTGAAACACCATAGACGCAAACTTAATTAAAAATTCTGAACACGCCATTGTGCGAAAGCCTTTGCAGTGTTTTTTTTTTACAAAGAGATCACAGTTATTAACCCAGGGCTGCGTACAATGACAGCCTTAAATTCATTAAAAAAGCGGTGCGACGAACGTCGCAAGTTAAAAATTAGGAAATTATTCAGTTTTCAAGAAGCTTCGTTTATTTTTATTCATTAATTTGACAGGTTTAAAATTAAATTTGCTACTAAATTTAACCATATAAAGTCGCGAGATGGGGCGGAATTGGTTTAGTGGCGTGTTTTATTCACATCAAGTTGCTGAATAACGTACCTGACATGGTTTACTGTTTTAATTAGAGATTTGTTACTCCTACTGCATGGTCGTGTTCGTCATTTAAATCAGGTAGTCCCCGCAGACTGAATTAGCGGACAATTTAGGGTAGGAGTAGCTACTGTTTCAGGTAAGATGAAAGAATTATGGGGTACTGTTTGACTACTGAAATGAGTTTTCGATTGTATGTTAACTATACAGAAATTTCGTAATTTAGTGGGGAAAATGTCGATAATTTCGGATGTAAAAGAAAAACAGTAAACTGAAATCATCAAACGCAGTACCTACAAAACGATTGCAGATGATCAACAGAAAAATGCATGAATAAAAACATGTAGTGGATGTAACAGTGAGAAAAACAGCATTATGTGATTATTAAATATGCACAAACATAGATATAGTCGATTTATTAATGTGTTGGCTACTATGTAACAAATTTGTCCCTATACCGCGTGTCTGGTTACTGGCGGATTAACTCTTCAGTACGTTATATACGGGGGTTACGGGAGTCTCGAAAAAAAAATTAAAAAATTCTTTATGGTGTAAATTTTATAAAAGTAAAATTGGCAAGACTGCACACACCTAATGCGTGAATATCTCCGGCCTACTTTCTGGTTTCTTAGTAACGATGGTGACTGAAATCCACCTTCGCTTTATATCAGGCAAACATTGTTGTCAAATGGAATTTTATCAAAGTATTACAAAAACAACATAGCCATATCTTTGTGCATTCTAACTGAAATGGTAATTAAACACGGTCATGGGCGAAAGAAATACTAACTAAAAGTTTTATTACTAGTTATTGTGATAATGAATGTGTTGTTTAGTTGTTAACCGTGGCAAAAGAACCAATTTTAAAATCATTATAACTCCACCAAAATATGAGAAGACATTTTTTTACTATTTTTCCCAGACTCACCAGTTGATTGTTAAGAGAGTAGCGGAGAGTTAATCCGCCATTTTCCAGACACCCGGTATATCTCGATTTAACAATAATGTGTAATATGTTCTTATTCTATAACTCTGTGCAGTAAATACCGTAAATAAATTAATGATTGTATTTTTTGTCAGGTTGGCAACATATTTAAAATGTTATGATGGCATACGTGATTGTCAAAATTCAATTTAGAGCACCAAGTCATCACGTTTGTAAGGCGCGCTATGCGAGCTCCTATCAAAATTAACAACTGTGAACTGACATTGCTACCAATAACTCAAAATTACCAACACAAAAATTTGCTAAAACCCATTGCTGTCAGTTTCATTTCTTTAATTTTTGATTTATACAAACAAGCTGCTGATACTTGAAATACCTGCATCATAATGAATGAATCTTATAGTGTTACTAAATATACCAGTTGTCAAAAAAAAGTGATAAACATATTTTATAATAATTTGTAAATAAAATAATTGGGACATGATTTACTTTGGCCCGAAATTGAATTGTGTAAAAGGGATGTTTTTAAATTTTCATAAAATAGTGAATAATCTAAAAAAATCGATTTTGGATTTTGTTCACCTTTTACATATCCTTACATCAGTGACGATATATTTATGATGATGTTGCCACCGTGCCGGTGTCTCTTCTTAGGTTCGTACTGTGATTACTTATTACTTAGTAGGTGTAATTTCCAAATTAACACTCTCAGCAATTTCGTTCTAATTATTTTAAAACTCAAGAAACTCAAAAAACCTACTATTATTTTGTTAAAGCAATTCCACCCGCTGCTATTGGGCCAAGGAGTTTCGGGCTGAGCCGGCTATGAAAACACATATAACTTCCACCGAAATAAACTGTTTAAATTGAATTGATTCTGTAACAAACTTTATGGACTTTTGAAGCTTTTTTAGGTGCCGTTCTTTAAACCTGTCTTGGTTATTATAGTTTCTATATTTCAGATTTTGTCAATTACTTCTCACATGTACATATTTTAAAATACTATTTCCAAAAAATGAACCATTTTTTTAAGAATTTTCTACGATTCTACGAAAAAGATCCGTAACAAGTTAGCCTTTTATTATAAAATTCTTACAAAAAGTGTTAAAAGTTTGTTTTTGATATGCGACGGATGTAACAATACTCTAATATTCTTTACTTTTGTACTTCAGTGGTCCAGCTTTGTAAATTATAAACGAGGTTAAATCATGGATAAAATATTATATGTATATTTTTTAAAATGTGTTCCATTTACCGGTTACACAGTACAGTGTTATTGTTTTAAACACATACAAAAATTGAAACATTTTTCTACAGATTTAGATTCTTTATGAAAAAAAGAAATCGGTATCAGATATAAGTTTCTTTGTATTTTACTGTTTTTAATGAACAAAATCTATAGTACACTATAAATAATACCTATCTTTTGAGTTTTGTTCTTTTCACAGAGTCAACATTAATTTATTATTGTTCTACAGCTTCAACTATTCGAACAAATGTCATAAAACCAATTACACCATAGGTTAAATTTTAAGATTTGTTTTTTTGATAATGCTCAGCTTTTAAAATTCAAATGCTATAAAACATTTCCACCAAATCACCATTTTAGACAACAAAAGAATGTACTCGATGTACACATCACTGAACAAAAATACTTTTTTTTTTCTTAAAATTCTTGTAACTTGCTGTCTAGACCGTTGCGGTTCTCAAATGGGCAGTGAAATATTGTAACATTAAAATTCTATCATGTTATAATGTCAATATGATTTTGTCGTCAAACCAAAGTAGATTTTTTTCAAATTTTACATATAATTATATAATTTTTTACAACTCACGAGCTTCGCCTCAACATAATTTCAACAAAAAAATAGGTTGTAATTACTTACTTATTTCTCAAGATTTCATAATGACCTCATTTTCTTGTCATCCAAAAGAGGCAGAAATAAACATTTTTAATATTTTCATAATAATATTTTAATATTAAATAATAATATATAGTCTTGTGCTTAAAGAAAATAGGAGTAATTTTTTTCTTCCAAAAATAAAAATATTATTTTCCTTATGGGATCATTCATTAGCTGCAATTACAATACCCATAAACCGGAACTATGATGACGACGACGACGATGATGATGATGATGATGATGATGATGATGATGATGATGATGGGAACGATGAGAAATACAAATAATGGTATGAAATCCTCAGCGACCGTAAATCAAGCCGCCTTTTGGCTTAATTACCACAATTAACAAAAATGCCACGATTTTGCCAAGATCCGTTTATTAATAGTAATAGAACAGACTTACATTTTTAACAACAGTTCAACAGTTATCTACTTACAATTCGAGCCTCGCTAGTAAAAATACTCTTGCTGTCGCTCTCTAAACAACAATAGAAACGCAACTTCAAAATCCAGAAAGACCCAATCCGGAAGAGTCCATACCAGAAAACCCAACCGTGAAGAGGTTAAGACACGTGCTTTTCGGTGCGCTTCTGGACGAATGACGAACGCGTGTGGAAACGCTTCCACGTAGCGACTAACAGATCCAGACGCGTTTGGTCCTGACCGTCGCGACGCACACACTAGCGTCGCTTGCGTCGTCTGGCGGGCGTCAGGAAGATCAGCTGTTCAAGTACTCCCGGTTATATTGGGAAATTCTGGGAGGCTGTGTTGTTGTTGCTCCGCACAACACTTGTCGGAGGATTGGTGGAGCGATAATTAACTCGCGGAGGCGCTCTTCGTCGATGCTTTCCGGGGTTGATGCAACGAGAGCATCCGCTCAGGTGACGGATGGATTTATTGGGGTTACTGAGAGGAATAATGGCAGATGTGGATGCAGGGCGGATGTAGGTTAGACGTTTCGAATTGAGATTCTGCGAATGCATGAGAAGAGAAACGGTCAATATGGTATTTACTTTCATAGGGTAGTGTTGAATCCTGAAAACCACAGAATCTTTGTTGACTCCTGGCAGAGAATAACATATTATGCTGAAGGTGAGAAGTAAAGCATTTTGTTCCGAAGGATATACTATTTAAACTAAAGTATCCAAGTAATTTTGGAAATTAAGAAATCACTTTATTTAATAGTCGTTGAAATCCATGACAAAGGACAAAATTTATGTCATCAGCAACATTAAAAAAAAAATAAAAGTGGTTTCAAATGTTGAGCCTGTGCCTCTGAATTTATAACCACCCAAGTCAAGAAAATTGTACAGTCATTATCTTAAAACCAGGAAAATGAAAACGAATATTTAAAAATGTAAAACGTTATTAAGATTGAAAGACTTACGGCATAGACTTTGTTCAGTAATGGTCGAAATTATAGTAAGTATATATTAACAACTTTTATTCAGTGAATTCTTTACAGTTACACCGTTATTAACATATACAATGTGTATCTTTCTCTATCCACATTTTTTCTCTATTTATTTATTCTTTCTTTATATCCATTTCTCCCACATCCTATGCTAAACTTTCCATTCTTTACATTTTCTTCAGTTATTCTAATTCCATAAACAATGTTATTTTATAGTCGATATTTTGTCAGTTCCTCTTAAACTCTAGTTGATCTCAAAAAAGACACTTTCTGACAACTACTAAACATGTGTTATTGACTTTCATTATAGCAGTTCTTTTCTTTTTCTTTGTCTCGTTATTAAATCTTTATACCTATTTAACTTACTTTTAAAACACCATTACACTTGGTATTGTTTCGGTATTTCATCTTTTATACTTAGGTACATTTCTTCCTATTTTTAATAATGCCAAGTCCTTTGCTTAACGAGTCCGCCCTTTCATTTCTTTCTACCGTTTATTTGCTTCATAACCGAATATTGATCTCTAGTTTCCAAAGACAAAACTTTCGAGCTCTTTTCTGTGGTTTCGAATTACCAACACAAGCTTCCAAAACTCCGCTAATACTTCTTCTTGTCAAATATTGTCGTACAATTTTTCTGGCAGAAGCTCACATCTTGACCCACACTTTTCACAGGTGAAGTTTTTCACTTATTTGCAAAGAACGAACTCTTCTTGGATCTTCTATTTAACGCTAAAATTGTTTTCTACTGTTAGAATTTTTTTTACTAAAACCCTTTCCAAATGCCCGTTTGGGTTTCCTCGGAAGTCTTGATATTCAGATTTATCTAATTCTAATTCTAATTCTAATTCTAATTCTACCCCAAACTATTAAAATATCCGTGAAGTGTCTTTTATTCAATCAATCATATTTTATTTTCATCACGTTCTAAAATACAAATATTTGTATCTCTGCTCATTCTCACCCAGAATTCTTCTATAATGTTACTTTTAATACTTAAATCTTCCAAATTTAATTTCACAAAATGGCAGTACTTTATTTCTTAATAAATATGTTAAAACATTTAGCAGTCTTCGTCAATTTCTTGCGTGTTGCGTTAGAAATTCTTCCAATCTTTTTCCAAGGACAATTTTTCCACAATTTTCTTCAATTTATGTAAATTAAACTTCATTTTAAACTGAAGTCAAAATTTTTCTACCAGTTTTTACTTCCGGTACGCTAAGGAAGTATTGTACTAAGGCCCATCCGGCGAATAACTACTTTGATGTTTTCTCCACGTTTCATGACCTCTAGAATATGAAAAAATAGGTTTCGTGTTTTTGTCGATTTTCATTGGACAGATAATCTCCGAAAGTAGTGAGTTTGTCTAATCATGCCCACCAACAATATGATGATGTCACTTCTGATTTATAATTCCATCTTGATTTTTACCCTGGACAACCAGATTTGTGGAAAAAAAAAAGTTAATGCAAATTTTTGGGTTGACTAAAATCCTCTCAGAAAAAAAAATGACTCACAAAAGTGTTTGCTTGTCTTATGCTGCCACTGGAAAATATCGTCGGCGTAATTTTCAAAGTACGTAACTCAAATTTTTAAGAAAGTGAGATTTTATTTAGTATTTTCGAGTGTAAAAATCAAAATACATTAACCAAACAAGTTTCGATGCTACCGGCGTTTGATAATTTTTTTTAATCTGATTTAGAAAAAAACGTAACTCCATTAAGATACCTTTTTGATTTAGCAAAATTCGCAACTCGATGTGGATAATGAAGCAACCGTTTTATTTTTGAAGTAGGCGGGGTGTTTTGTTTTGAATTACCTATGTTATATTTATTATTAATTTATTATTTTACTAAATAACGAAAAATTATAGCATATAAAACCGTGAGATATTTTTTAAATTAATACATTCAAAGCCGACGTGGAAATATTTACCGATCCGCATAAAATTAAAAAATTGGTCGAAATTTATTTCGACAGAACTTCCCTCACTTCTGAAAAATTATAAAATTTGATTTTGCGGAATTTTACTTTCTGGTGATAACCTCTAAAGACTGAAAACAATATGGAAGGTACTAGTCACAGTGTAATAGACAAAAAGAAGGTTTCATCTTGTTAAAAAAGACAATTGGGACCCCCGAGAAGGTTTCACATTAAAAAAAAGACATTTGGCGCCCGAGAAGGTTTTATATTTTTAAATAAATGAAGAGCGTATTCTCACCTTTTCAAGAAAGTGGAGTAATTTCATCAATAAAAAATTTGTTTTGAGGTCATAAACATAGATAATAAGACAATACACAATGCAAAAGAAAAAGAGAAATTAAAAGAAAAAAAAAACGAAAGGCCGGGTTTGGAATCGAACTATTCCTGACTCGTAACCACTAGACCATCACCGAGATGCCTTTCGCTAATGATGAACTGTTATTATACCGTGCATATTTATAAACATATAATTCTTTTAAATGACGTCATCAAATTGTTGGTGAAAATGATGAACAAAATTTTGGTAGAAAAAATAATTATTTGACATGTGTTCCTGGTAGCCTAGAACCTAGAAGGTAGAACAACCGAAAAAATAAAAAATTGGTCTAAAGAGTTTAGACAGTACTTCCCTCGCTGTCGGAAACTTGACGACTGCATGCCTATTGTGTTTTTTTTTCTCATTACATTTTTGTAGTGGGAATTTAAAAAAAAATTGCGATGACGTCATCAACATTTTTGCAAGGACACGTATATCAGTTGGGATAGATGTAGTGTAATACTAAGAATAAAATTATTATATTCTCAAATTTTCGGGAAAATGAATTGGGTCGTTTGAATATTGATTTGTAATAATCAATAAAATAACGAAACAATTTACTCACGTATACCTACGTATCAGAGGCAACTGAAAATCGTGTATGTATAAACATTGTTAATTTAAGATGACAGGCGTAACAGCATACGTGAGAGCCAAACACAGAAACTGTAAACAAAACGACCGTCGGTTTTATTGCTTCGACTTCCGCTTATTATATAAAACATTGGGTTTTATTTTAATTCTTGACGGTGAAATTCACAATTGGTTGATTATAAACATGTCTATTTCACATTCGCGGAATCAAGTGAACGCATAAAACAAATGCAGGTCTGTAATGTTAAAGTCGATGTAAATAAGCGTGCTACCCTTATGTTTCAACCGAGTTTTTCCTTTAACAAATTTTGTGTCTACCAAATTGGGTTGGTTGGGGTGTAATACTAATAATAAGTGTTGCCTTTAATTTAATCAATAAAATAAATTGACTTCATTAATTTTTTTGAACCACCTCTTAAGAAAATCTAAAAAATATGAATGGAATGATAAATCACAAGTACAAACTCATCGTATTTTTTGCATTTTAGATAGGATTTATTCAGCAAAATTTAAGGGTGACGTCATCAATTTTTTTAGGAGGGATGAACAAATACATTTTGAACAAAAGTTTACCATGCTTATAATAACTTTAAAATATTCCCAAGATTTCAAAGCATTCGGTTTTGTAATTCCTGATTAAATCGATAAAATAAATTCACGCCTTCATTAATTTTTTTGAGTCACCCTGCATATGCAAATCCAAAAATATGAATGGAATGATAAATCACAAGTACAGACTCATCATATTTTGTACATTTTAGATACGATTTATTCGGAAAACTTTTGAGCTGACGTCATCAGTTTTTTGTAGAAGATAACCAAATATATTTTGACTAAAAATTTATTATGCTCTTTATAACCTTAAAACATCTGCAAGATTTCAAAGCATTCGGTTTTGTAGTTCCTGATTAAATCAATAAAATAAATTTACGCATTCATTAATTTTTTTGAGTCACTCTGTATATGCAAATCCAAAAAATATGAATGGAGTGATAAATGACAAGTACAGGCTCATCATATTTTGTACATTTTAGATATGATTTATTCGGCAAACTTTCGAGCTGACGTCATCAAGTTTTTGGAGGGGATAAGCAAATATATTTTGACTAAACATTTATTATGCTCTTTATGACCTTAAAACATCTGCAAGATTTCAGAGCATTCGGTTTTGTAGTTCCTGATTAAATCAATAAAATATATTTACGCATTCATTAATTTTTTTGAGTCACCCTGTATATGCAAATCCAAAAAATATTAATGGAGTGATAGTTCACAAGTACAGACTCATCATATTTTGTACATTTTAGATATGATTTATTCCACAAACTTTTGAGCTGACGTCATCAAGTTTTTGGAGGGGATAAGCAAATATTTTTTGACTAAAGATTTATGATGCTCTTTATAGC